CTATTGGGCCTTTATGAGTTTTGCAGAGCATTACATTTGTTATTTACAACCTTTTCCTTTTTTTTTGTCAGTTCTAGGCCTTTTTATTCACTTACACTATTTGTAAGTGAATATTTGTCTTTAAATTTCTGTCTTCTTAATGATACCTGATGTGATGCAGACTGAGTGATTGTCGTAACCAAACTGCCTTTGCAGAATGGTTTCAGAACTGTTTAATTGAACTGAAATTAGGGCTGAAGTAGCACCTTTTTCCAGATTTCTTTTTGTGAAATAACCCCGAGAAACATTGACTCTGTTTTCACTGTGTTTACTTCGTTTTATTTTACATCCAGCAAATAAACCAGTCCTTGCTTAATGGGCAGGGGTTTGCTGACCCCCTTCTCTTCAGGCTTGTGTGGACTGGAGGGTAATTGGAATCAATTTTGATGCCGTTATCGCTGGTGGCAGATGCACAAGGCTGCAGTGTGAAAAGGTCAAGGGTTGAGAGCGCTCTCCTAGGGGACTCAAGATGCCTGAGGCATAAAAATGTCACTGCTGGATCAATTTCACATGTAAACACGTTTTAATCTCAGAGGACTTTTGAGCATTTTTGTTGTTGTTGTTTTGTTTTTGTAGTTTTCTTATTGCTGGTTGTTGAAGAGCTCCAGACAGCAGGTGGAGGGTTAAGATGTTGAAGATTGGGATATCAAAGTAACGCTTTCCATAACTTATCGTCTACGAAAGCCAAAGATTCTTTCTCCTGTGCATCTAGACTCAATTAGAGACTCGTCAGCTTGAGCTTGTCAATATATATATATATATATATTATCACTCACTGCCCCCATGTTGTATAATTTACCCAGGAACACAGCCAAGGGAGTCAGGTTGACCTCAGTTGCTTTCAGGGTCACATTTTTACCCTCACCCTCAGCTGAAAGCATGTCATTAAAAATATTTTTTCCTTTGTATTTACACAGAGATCACATTTATAAATAGAAATTTATTTTAACCTGTGTTTTTGTTTGAGGATTAGAGGGAAAACAGTAAAGACTAACAAGAGAAAGAAGGGCAAAAATAAATGAAAAATGAGTGTATGGAATACGTAAAACCGCCATAACATAAACTGTAAATTTAAGCTAACAGACTAGATTGTGTTACTAATTCTTATATTCAAATGTATCTCATTAGAGACAAAAAAAAAATGAAACTGTAGTAATGCCATCATTTATCTCAGTCACCACAGAGAAATTAGCAGATTTCCTAAGTAAAAAATATGGAGGAATAAAAACGTAGCTCACTTAACAACATAAATTCCCTTAAAAACCCTACAGGCCAGTTTCATTTCAGAAATATTGGACACCTAAAGATGCTGAAAATTGGTGTTGGAAGTCTGCAGTCCTGATGCCCACGCATTCATTTTTTTCAGACCTCTCTAGGGATCATGGTTAATGCAATAACAGAGCTGACAAATTGAGTTGGTTTTATTGCATAGAACCACAATGGCAGTGAGTGAGCGTGTCCTTGACTCAGAGGAATCAGGTGTGAGCCCGAGGATGTGTTAAACCTGCATGCATGCAAGGCTCAGGAGAGGCAGTCCTGCAGCTCCTTATTAATCAACAGCTTGTTGAGCTCGTGGCCATTCCTCCTCCCCCACCTCCTCTGGTGCACCTTCACACTCTCTGTCGTCTTCATACGTTGGGTTCCCCCCTTTCTCTTTTAAAGCCACAGCCTCTCATTCTATCTTTCACAGGTTATCTATACATTATGTCCTCAGCTAGCTGTTGTCACAAGAAAAAAAAAGGAAATTATTTTTCAAAGATCATCACGGTACCTTGTTTTTGACCGTATCCTCAAATCATTTGACCAAATGAATTAAACATCTTCCCCAGGTGTGAATAATCAACTCAACTTGAACTGCAATCGTGAGCCTACTCTGTATGCTGAGAACATATTAACTGTGCTGTTTGGTTCTTTCAGTTTCATGGCTTGCTGTTGGCTGACATCTCTCCTGGATGACCTACAATATGGCAGATAAATAATATGAGAAAAAAAAATATGTCTGCTGTCTCCATGTTTATAGTTGGGGGGTTGCTCATATATGTTTGTCTCTTTTAAAACAGTGGAGTGCCAAGTTGAAAGTGGAAATGAGACACTTTGCAAACTTCACTTGTGTTTTTGTATATTCAAAACTTTTCAGCCATCACCTCAAAGGTGTCTTTTTACAACAAGGCTGAATAAGGCAGTACAGTGCGTAAGTCACAGCACAGTGGTGCAGTGATTAGCACTGTTGCCTCACAGCAAGAAGGTCCTGAGTTGGATTCCACCACCTGGTAGGGGCCTTTCTTCCCTTGTTTGGGTTAGCTTAATTGGTAAACCTAAATTAGGTGTGAGTGTGAATGATTGTCTGTCTCTATTAGACTGGCGCCACCTGTCCAGGGCGTACCCTGCCTCACGCCCTATGTTAGGGGCTCCAGCCCCCCCCCCGGCGACCCTGACGAGGATAAGCGGAAGAGAATGGATGCGTGGATGTTAAAATATGTGGTGTTTATTCCAAGAGGTTTAAGAAATTACTTTTTTTGACCTGTTAACCTCTTGGTATGCGCACACAGCAGCTTCTTCGTCTCAGTGCATCTTAATTGAGCTCCCTAAAAGGTGGCAGTGCTTTAGGATCATATTTTTTTGTCTTTAAATGGTAGAGGTTACACTTACCAGTGCAAGAAGAAACTGTTTACTGAATACATAACTAATATTGTTTGAAGCATCCTGAGCTCATGCAGTGATTTCCATTGCATACACCACTACAGAATCGTGTCTATTTTACACGACTGCTCCCTGTGGGTCACAATCGTTGTGTTTTGATTTCGTCCTTGTGTGTGGAATCTGGCCAATCCTACGAGTCTTTTAATATTGCGCACCATAGATGATGAGCAAATACTTTGAATATACTGATTTGCAGTCTTTGACAAATTGGTGATCTGTCCCCATTTTTATTTCTGAAAGACTCTTTTGAAATGTTCTTTTACATGAAGTTTATATAATTTTTAAATCATTTAATTCTATTTTTATGTAAATTTTACACTGTTTTGTAACATTTTTTTAAACTCAACAATACTATTGTGGCAGAAACTGAATTTCCCTGCTTTATAAAGAAGCCCACAAAGTACTACAATCTACAAACAGATGACAAAGCTCTCAGCTCAAGGGCTTTCAGCTCAACAGCCTGCACATTTGAGGACAATAAACCATTTAAGTTAACTACCTCATCATAATAAAAGCCCTTAGTGACAAAAACCTTGACTGCAGGTTCATAATCTGTTAACTTACTACTTTTAGAGTATATAAAATGTTTTCATTTACAACATAATTTACTGAGCCACACCTGTTTTCACCAGAGGTGTGGGTAAAAAATGCTAATGAGGTGGTTTACATTCCACGCGTGTACAACTGTGTCACTTGAATTTTTATAATTGTGCTGAGGGAGGCAGTGGAGAACGAATCCTTCACTTTCATGATTCTTTTGTGTGTATTAAACATTTGTGTCATTTTAACTCACTCATTGTAGCGTGAATTTTCAAAATGTGCCAAAATTGAAAGTAGTGTGACTCTCAGAACATGCACAGTGGAGTGCAAAAATGGTTTAGTGCATGGAGGACAGGAAGATGAATGTCTTTTCTTGTCTTCTGTGACGGGGGTACAAATGAATGGTAAAGATATATGTTAGTGGAGCAGGATGAGAGGAACTAGGTATATGAGAGAAGGTAAAAGAAAAAAACTTAAATTGCAAGAAAATGGACTGTGCAAAACAAAAAATAAAAAAATAAGGTCATATAATAAGGTGATCATCACAGAATCAGTTAAACTTCCACATAATTCATAATCAATTTTGTGCAAATGACACGTGGAGGCCACAGATCACAGATCCCTCTGACTGATGTTTTCATTTTCTTTTTTGTTAGGAGATGAAACCTGCAGCCCACTCCTTCAGGTATTTTCATCCACACCATGTTAACTGTGTGTCTCCTGCACACTCAGAGGTGTGGAGGAGATTGACCATTAAACACAAAAGAAATACATTGCTCCAAAAGGGCAACAATCCAGCTGCTGGTCCGGTACCTGCTCCTTTATGTGGGCAGGAACAAGAGGAGCACTGCCAGAGCACAACAAAAGGCCTCTGGCAGGCTACTTGTGTGTGTTTCACACCAAACTCTCAGAATCAGAATCCATGAGGGTGGAATGAAAGCATGATGTGATGTAGTGGGACCTCTGCTCACAGCCCGGTGGTAGAGAACACCAGAACCCTCAGCTAAATCCAGTTCTCCTTACAAATTAGAGGTGGTTCACAAAAAAGTCTGGAGATGCGACGGCAAAAACCATGCAACATGTGCAAGCATGACAGCAAACGTATGGGAAGGTATATCCTTTGAGGGTTGCACAGACCTGAATGTGCTAACCAACCCTGACTGTTATTAGGTGCCTGGATAAAATCCTCAGTCGCACTGTTAGACCTTATCTTGGTGCACTAAGTACCACCTGGTGCAGGACAATGACTCATATGGCAAACGTGCATAGGCAGCTCCCTGACTGATGAAGGCACTGATGATATTGACTGGCCCTCATGTTCCACAGGCCTGAATCCATACTTTATGAACTGTGATGCTGAACCTGGACTACAGTCTGTCCAGAAGCTCACTGATGCTTTGATCCAAGTCTGCAAGGAAAGCCCAAGGACACGATCCAGATGTTGCCAGGGCTGAATACAGGTACGTGGGGGCCATGCTATAGTGAAAGTAGCCTCAGCCTGTGATATGTGAGTTAAGTGTTAGTTTAATTTTTTATCTTAACTATAGAAATTCTTAGTAGCAACAGCAGTAATGTCTGTTTAAACCTAACGTAAAGGCTTGATAAATAACATAAATAGGCTATTAGATTAAACATTTGGCTTACTGGTAATTAAATTATTCTTGTTAATTTATGGTAACCTGCATTTCTTGTGGTGCAAAAACAGTTTCTCAAAATACAACTTAAACTTTAGAAGTTATAACTTTACATAAGCAATACAGCAAACTGCAACTCTGCATTATTTAGTATGCTTCTTACAGGCTCTTTAGTAACTGCAAGTAAGGTGTGTCTTGTGATCTATATGTCACGCTACTATGGCATGCATAATTTCACATCTCTATACTGTGACCAGTATAGTTACCACATCTCCATTTAGTCACACAGTTTATCAGGATTTCAAAAAACACAAAACTCCAATCTTGTAACACTTTCAAAAGTGAACCGAGTCCAAATTGTCCAAATGATGCAATCCCTGTAGCCGCTTTTCTTTACACTCATATCGCTACCATAGTCGGACAATCTGCCAACAAAAACTGAGAGTACACACTTCTTGAAAAGCTCAGTGAACGACTTGTTGCACATTTTCAGTAACCACAGTGCTGATGTGAACATTTCAAGCTTTGAACACTTTTACTGTAATAATACTTTCTCATATCTCGTGCCTACACAGCAGACATATTGTAACATATCAGTATGGTGTGGTCTGTAATTTACTGTAAACAGGTTTTACATACTTACTTGCAACTATTAGAATAACAAAGAAAACAATCGTTTACTTTTTTTAATAATCATTAACTGACGATTATGTGATGCTACAAAATCAGCAGTCTCTATATTTTACATTTTGGTAGATTGGCAGCTTGATATGAAAAAAAGTCTTAGTATGAAGAAACTAAATATCAGCATAAATGAATAGGGCCCATGTGCTTTGCAGTGAGTGTATTTTCATGCCAAGTTAGGAGATGAAACATTAACTACAGTTCTTGCTATGCGTTCAGTTTGGTTGAAGCAGTTCAAATTTCACATTGGGTGAAAAAATACAAAAGCACAGGTTAACTTCCAAGGCACAGCAATGGACATTAATTTCATTTCTCATTAGTCAAAAACCTCCATTCTAGTCAGCAGAACTGTAATATTTAAAATAAAAAAAAAATCAATTGAAAAATATTAATCTACTGCTTACAAAATGAGAAACGGACTCTTTGCATCCGAAAGTACCACATTTGTGGGAAATAAAAAAGGTAACAGAAAACAAAACCGCTGTAGACACAGCAGTTCGATTTAACACCTGTCTACTAAAAATAGATGGTGAAAAGTACGGCATCACAGCATGGGAATGGGAGAACAGTTTTTCCTCTGCGTGCGTTCAGCAGGTATGTGCCAAATTTTGAAATGAAAATGGGTGTAATTATGCCACATTTCACTCTGAAGTTCAAACAGATGACTACTTAGCATAATAAAACTTTCAGAGTTACACGCCAACTGTACAAAACAGGGACGACACAGAATCGATTATAATACTTGTCCCAAAGTGCTGGGCAGGTGTTGCTGAAAGGAAAACACTGCATTGCTCAACGGCTGCTTGGTTCAGTAAGTGCGAACTCCTGGTTTGCTGTCCGGCGTCTGGTTGAAGGGATTTCCTGAGGTAGAGGAGCCATCCTGCTGGTCAATGGACTGATAGGCATCTCGGTTTCGTGATACAGAAGGGAAACCTGCAGAGACAAGCCACAAGTCTTCAACATCAGTTATCATTTTTAACCACATCTAATCATGGACCTTGGAGACTGGACTGTTGTTGATATACATATTTAAAGTACTGGCACCCAGAAAGCTCAAATCTTTTTCTTTATTGTTTTCCCTTTCTCCTTACACACAGATTCATGAAACGGTTATGCAGATTTGCTATCTTGAGTCAAGTGCCCAGCCATGTCTGTAGAAATATAAATGACAGTGCTTGAATCTGTTATTACCAGCATACATTAAAAATACACACTCCCTCTGATGAATGGTAGACTGAGAAAACAGCCACTTTTATTCAAAATCCTTCTTTGATGGAAGAAGAAATTCCTCCCATTTCCCCACTACTGTTTGATTAGTCATTTTGAGAAGAGTCTGGGCACGGGAACTTCACTGATGTGAGACTGAACATGAAAAATCTCTTGTCCTTCTGTCAGCAGTCAAATAATCAAGATTATTTGAAAAAAATAAACAAATAAATTTACCAGAGGATATAGCTTCCTTGCTGTATTATAGGTGGGAACGTTTATGAAAGATTTTTATAAAGGGACTTCACACATGAAGCATCTACAACAAACAGTCCTGACTCTGACATGGCCAGAATATCAACTATCCCCTTTGGCGTTTCAAAGACAGCACCTCTGCACAGTCCAGAGTCCAACTGCGGTGACAAACATGCACCTTTAATGCCAGTAAAACAAGAAATCTGGTTTCACTGCAGCTGTATGGGAATATTGGCAATAGCCCAAAGATTGACCAAAGGATGGCATCACATAAAGCTCAACAAAGCGTGTGCATAAAACCAGGCCATACTCACTGTCTAGTATCACATCACATCATGTTGATTTTAATTAGGCTCATTTTAGAATGTGCAGCATCATGCAGCTCTGCTTTAAATACATGCAAATACAATGCAAGAGCACAAATGAGGCATCTGGGGACTAAAAACCTGAATAAACCATATAGCTGATGCAAACTTTCAGATACATATAAACTCCTAAAATACAATAAATAGTGTTTGCATAAGAGCAATCTCTACAAACAAACATAGCAATGCAGGCAGGTATGGGCTTACTGAAGGTGGGAACAGTCAAATTAAAAGACAGATTAAAAAAAACAAAAAACAAAAAAAAACACACAAAGAGATGGACAGCAGAACACTGACAAGATGATCGTTTAAAAATAAATACAAAAGGGGAAAAAAAAAATCTATTTCTCTTTATCATCCTGCAGCCTGATATGGAATCTTACTTCCTGCATAGAAGGAGTTGGAAGAGGATGATTGGAGGAGAGAAACTGTAAAAAGGGAAGAGGCCAGGAATCAATAGCGGCGCCCAATAAAGGCACTGTCAGCACTGTCCGTAGTGCATCGACTGTCCACAGAGGTCTCAAAGTCTGAGAGGTCAAAAGGTTGAAGAGAAGAGAAGAGAAGAAGAAATGATCAAATTCCAACTACAACAACAAAAATCAGCCTTTACAAAAAATAAATACTAAGGTGTGACAGTAAGGTATGCCAAAGAGCAAAGGATGACATGCAAGAAAAATAATGACATTTTAAGTTGGGAACAAATATATAAGGAGTGCACATTAATTTAATTTAGGAGCACATTAATTTACGGTAAGGGTAATGCATGGCAGGCAGTCTGCTAAGCTGCAATTTACTTAGTTATTGCTAGCAAGGCTGTTGCACTTTACATCACGGCACAGTTCTGGTACAGTTCACACATAATGGCAGCAGACTCATTGCTCAAAATTAATGATAAGTGTTTAAAAGATGAGTCTGTCATTTCAGACGTGTTATGTTTATCTAGCAACCAACCGTCAATTTTCCAGTCGTTTGCTGTATTTAGTTTCCCTGGCTGCAGAGTTTTTACTGACTTTTCAATGTCTTGAGGTGCACTGTATGAAAATGAGACTCCTAAAAACAGTCTTAAATATGCATTTGTTGGCTAAAGCTTAAAGGTCCCTGGTAGGCGTTAGGCCTAGTATTTACTGTATGATGTGGAAACTGTTCAGACTGCTATTTGGTCTGTCTACAATAGTCTTTGCATGCACACGATTAAAAATCACACTACACAAACGCAGAGATAAAAATTTATCTTATCTGTGTGTGTGTTTTTAAGCACTTGCTAAGTCTCTTTAGCAAATATGACCCTGGATATCACTGGCACAGTTTGAGATATGAAGTTATTCAAACCATTAATAAATGGCTTTTTCTAATGCCAATTTAAAACCTCAAAATGATTGCAGTTAGCCGTAAACATAAATAGGATACTAAACTCAAAGATGGAGCCTTTTCACTCTAAAAAAAAAAAAAATGCCCACATTTTTTTTTGTAGCTTGTTGATGCCAGAGGTCAGAAGTGAATGGCCAGAGTGCTTCAAGCTGATAGGAAGGCAAAAGCAACTCATTACAACCAAGGTGTGCAGAACAACAACAACAACAATCTTTCTATAATTTAAAATCTTTATAATCTTTATAATCTCTTTCTGCTATTTGCACATTTTTTACTGTAAATTTCTAAGTTAATTTGTAAATTTTTGTAGTAACCTGTAAATTGTAAATACTGTAAAACTTTTTTCTGTCATTTAATAGTCGGGCATTGCACAGCTACAAACATTTCACCCCATGTCATACTTTGTATGGTTGTGTGTGTGTGACAAATAAAATTTGAATTTGAAACCCTTCAAACTTGTAACATGGGCTACAGTAGCAGCAGGCACCACTCCCCTCAGCTAAGAACAGTAAAATGAGGCTACAATTTTAAACTGGACTACAGAAGACTGTAAAAAAAAAAAAAAAAGGGTGCCCTGTCTAATAAGCCTCAATTCCTACTGCACGAGAGCTGCCAAGTTACCCAGCAGGATAAGTTGGAATCTCACAAACCTCAAATCATCACAAAATAGTTTCTTGAAGATTACAATGATCTCACTGTAATGCCACGAGATCTCAATCTAAGAACGAACCTTTGGGATGTGATGGAAAAGGAAATTCAGCTGACAAATCTGCAACATCGTGTGATGCAGTCGTGTCGATATGGATCAATATCTTTGAAAAATGTTTCCAGAACCGTGTTGAATCTATGCCATGAAGAATTAAGGCAGGTCTGAAGACAAAATAGGGCCCAACCCATTAAAAACAAGATGTACATAAAAAAATGCTACCATCTATGGCTCACAAATGAGAAGGCACCTTTTCCTTTCAATTTTGCTTATGGCTTTTAATTACCTGCCAATCATTCACAGTGTAAACAAAATCACAGCTTATTACTTGCTGTTCTTTTTCAATGCTTTCATCTACCCATGTAAAGTACGTGCCTCACCTCTATGTGCTTTGACAGTCTGGATTTGCCTGTTTATAGGTGCTAAGCACTGGTTGGTTTAATGACCACAGTCACTTTGACTGACTGCAAAAGTGTGACGGCTCAAATGTGCAGCTTTTGCTTCATTGGATGTAAAACTTAAGTCTAATACACAAACTCAGAGTAATTCAACCACCATAAGAGGTCCATCAATCAAAATTCTGGGAGCCCCAAATACCTGAATCAACAGTTCACTCACACACACTTGATTGTCTGGTTCCCAGAGTGCTCAGTGCAGCGGGGAACCATATAAATGCCAACAACGCAATCAGGCAGCAATTAAAACTCACATAGTCTGAAACTGACATTAGCCGCTTTCATCAGTCATTACACACTCTAATGGATGTACCTGCTGTGTGAATGTGGCGGTAAAGTAAAACCACAGAGAGAGCACATTCATCAATATTCAATTATCTGCCAAGCATGCAGGAAATATATTTTGTCAACTGCAGTTTTGGGTCGCAATGCAAGAGAAATTTCATTACTTTACCCAGCGTGACATGAAATAACATAGTATTTTGGCCTATAATACTAATATTAATAGTAATAAAATTGCGTTACACCAACAATATGTGGTTTTATTTTTCCCATTTGTGTTGTTGTTGTTCTTATTATGGATCAATCGCTAATGAATGAGTAACATTTTCCGGGATTTAAGAGTCCAGCGGACGTCACAGCTCAGTGGGATTTCTAATGGAAAAGCTCTCAGCAGAGAGAGATAAAGTCTTACAAATCAATGACCACACACACTTGATCAAACATCCCTTCACTTGTTAGCGTGCTTATTAGATGTTTGCCTGCAAACAGAACGCTATACACCCAAAAGTCAGTGCCAACACAAAGAGTCTCTTTCTGTGTTCATCAGATTTGAGTCCATCTGTGTTTCCTTCCACATCACTCCTGTGCTATTTCTGTCCATGTGCTATCATGGCAGATCATACACTCGTAGGCCTGCATGGGCTTAATGTGTTTCTCCATGCAGTATAAACTGGTTGCCAGGATGACACACAAATGTAATAAACATTTCATTGAGAAAGGGTTTCTTTGACTGGCCGAGCTGCAGCTCAAATATTTCTCTGCATTTTAAGTCTTGTGACTGTAACTAATCAGTTTGACGGTGGAATCATCTGCCAGCGCTTTCGCTCAGCGTCCTGCCAGGTTGCTGCTCTCGGCAGGCTTTTCATGGCAAACGGCATAAAACAACACAAGGAAGACATCAAAGTGCCCTTGGACACATGCATTACTCCATACCTTAGAGCTTTGGTCATAAAGTGGTGGGTAGGCTCAGGTATTTTAGATACTTTCTCACTAGTTCTGAAATTATACTGGGAGATGTACCCTCTGTGTTGTGTATGTATTTCTGCTTTCATTACCTTTTCACAGCTTTCATGACAACAAAATGAAAAGCTGAGGAACCTGAGCCAAAATCTTTTTAAATCTCGAAATGTTTTATGCTACTGTACGTGACCCATCTAGTCGTACTTACCAAAGTTGATGTTGTAATCTCCTCCTCGCTCGCGGTACATTTGGTAGACAAAGAAGCAGGAAATGGGTTTGAGCAGCAGGTTGAGGATGGTCATCCCTGCGCTGAAGCGAAACAAGTCGGTCGAGGCACCGAGAGGGTAGAATATCCCGAGATGGACGATGTCGGTCAATATTGTCAAAATCATCCCTATCAGAAACTACAGGGAGCACACAAAAGAGACATGTAAAGCGACATAATTGTAACATGGAAAATGAAGTCATTTGGTTGGTGGGTGTGATATAAAAAAATAACTAAAGTATAGCATACATGTTCTGGAAAAAGATTTTTGAGGCAAGCCATTACAAAAAGAGTAAAACAAAACAAGATCTTGTCTTATAATTTGGGACAGTCAATGTCCATATTGTTAAATGAGAAATAACTTTCCAATAAAAAAAGAATTAAATATGAGTTAATTAAACATGCTATTAGTTAAACACTTGAAAATAAGTGAATTCACTTAAGGCACCTGAGAAAAATGTTGCCAGGACTTAACCATACTGGAAAAGATATACAGTGGGCTATATGACCTGCAGCTGATTGGGCAGGTAATTGATCCAATTTCAAATACCACTCAGTGCTAAGAAATCCTGCTTATCCATTAGTTGTGCACCAGTGTTTTTTCTTGATAGATCTTGGACATGAGTGAATATGACATTGGACTTTAATGTACAAAAGGTAAAAGGCTCCCCTGTGGTTACATCCCAGCGTCTATAAGTCTAAATTAAGTTCAGTACAGTGACAGAGTCCAGTACTGTCAAACTCTCGTTTTGGTTACTGTCAAAGAATAACACAGTAGACAGCTATTTTGTTCAAGATTCATCCCTTCATTTCAAACACTCAAAGCCTGGACAAAGGTGGACTTTAAGTATAGTTTTGTTAAATCCATCAGTTAAAGTTAGTCATAGTGGGTTAGAATCATCCACAAAGCTACATAGCCCCCTGAGATTAATATAATTTCCCATCAATTGCAGTAAAGAGTTTGTTTTAATTAAATAAAATAAGTAACCACATCATTCAAACAGAAACTGAAAGAATCCGTCCATTACAAGGACATGAAGATTTAGAGTGTAACAAATATTTTGCATCAGCATAAAACTATTTATGCAGTGAACACACACAACTAAAATGCAGCAACCTCTGGGGCTGAAAAATGAAATAAGAGCTGAAGCTGAAGCACCAAAAGCTGCAGCCCCTGAGGTTAGCTTCACAGGCCAGTCAGGTCCCATGCTAAAATGTCCAACGTTACAGCAGAAATGCATAAAGCATTTTGACATCTGGTGTTGTTTAGTGTTCAATCATACAAAAACACACTTGAGTAATTTTAAGCCTGTTTTGATGCAAGTCAGAATGAGCATCCCATTTAATATTACAACACTTTATGAAGGTACCCTGCTAACCAAACTAGCTAGCAATAGATGGCAACTCCTCCTCACTGCCTGCTCATGTTAATATGGTCAGATTTGACTTGGGGAAAAAAAATGAACACAGCCAAAGCCAGAATGTGAAACTTGATCCAAAACTAAAGCCATGAAAAACCACATACCATTGTGGCCATCTTCTATATACAGTCTATGAGAAGGGCTCAGTACTTTTGTTGACCCACAGTCAGGATGAGGCGCTTAATAGTTTCCTCTGACAGACAGAAGAGCCAACTGCACAAGTTTTCCTTCTATCTGATAACGGCTCTCATTAAAAGCTGTTCTTGCTTCAGAACACAATCAAAAAACAATTCTGAAGTCACACTTTTGTTTATTTTTTTTCCCCTTAGTCAGCTGATGTCACTAATGTACAATGGAAACACCAGTCACGGGTTCAGAGTTACGGTATGATATGGGTTGACAATTCTGAAACTTCAAACATTTAAATTACATTTGCTTAAGGAGCCATTTTAAACTGTCTGAGGGCCTCAGCTACTGTACTGTGGTAAATTGAGGGCTCTTTTTCAAAGGGATGCTCACAGAATGCCCTAGATTTCACAGACAAATAGGTTAGCACAGATATGCAGCACTGCACCTAAAGTTGGACTACTTTATGTGTCACATGATGCTATAAGAGCGTATGAAGAAATGAAGGCAGAGACTCACCATGATCACTGCATCTATTGAGTCCCTCTGTGCAATCGCCCACACTCCAACTGCTAAAACGCTAAAGTTCGCCCATGTGAAGGCCACTGACGGCCACACCATACTCCCCCTGAAGGAAACACACAATTCATACGAGACAGATTCTTACACACCCCAGGAGAGTTACGTGCGATTTCACAGAGGATGAGACATGTAGGTGAAGGAGTTGACCTGAATCAGGAGTATAAGCATGTGTCTGTGTGCCAAAAGAGGAGAGAAATTCCTCAGGTTTGTGGAAAAAAAGCCTGTGCTCATACTCACCACACTGTAAGCAGCCAGTGCACCAGTACGATGGCCTGGAATAGAGAAGGACAAAAATGTGTTTACACTGAACTGAGACCCAGAACAGCCAGTGTATAGCTAAGAATGATGAAACTCTATCACTCAAACACAAGTTAAAAACTTCAAATCATCACTGCGTGCAGCTAATCTGCAGCAATGATTTATCTTTTGATTTAGGTCTCTAAGAGGACCGAAGACATCTTTTTCAACCTCGCCAAATTGCATTTTTTATACATATCATTTCCTTCAATTCTGTGAAACAAAGTAAAATTAACTCATTTCAAAAAACTTTAAGAGATAAATGAATGAATGACTGAACACACTAAATGAATATAAAAATGCACCATCTTGCAGAAACTGTTAGTGTCCTCCAAGCTTACTTTTAACATCACAGGTTTTATAATCCTTGAATAAGCTGTCCAAAATTACATTTGACCCATTTTAGTCTTTGGACAGAGCACAAGGACACTTTTGTCCCTGTTCAGTTTCACGGTTAATCAAAGGCACCAGTTCATCAGTTAATGTTCATCACAGAATATAGTTTGTCTCTACTATTTTTTTTGATGCCTTAGTTCCCCCAAATTCACTGCATATGAGTGTTTAAAGTGTTTGTGAAAATAAATATGTTTATATGTTTAAATAATGACCTCTGTCAAAGGACCTGCTGCCACTCAAAATTGTCCTTCAGGGACCGTATCCCCTGAACATTACCTTAAACACTTCTTACTTAATAGCAAAAAGTAGAGCAGCAGTTTACTGTGATCTGAGTCACAAGCAGAGGAAGGTCGTTGCCACACAGAGGAATTACCACTGAGGAACAGAGCTGACATTTCATTGAAAACCAGCGTTTGTTTGAGCGTACAAGCCGAGGCAATCAGAAACGCAGAAAGTAAACCTCACCTTTAGATTTATGGCAGGGATTTCCATAATTGTCTGTTTGGACAAAGCAGCTCCTCCTTGATCCGATTCGGCGTTTCAACTTGTTAAAGAGCTACATGAAAAAGTACCGCAGTTTCTCTTCTTACACAAACTTCTGTCCAAACCCCTCCTCCCGTCGGCTCAGCCTTGCAAACACAAGCCATGTGACAGCAACCTGACTCGTTCCCATGTGACTCCTGCCCCTCTCACCCCCTCACCCCTTCCCCCAACCCCTGGGGTGCGGTTCAATTGGCAAATTTGCTTAGGAAGGTAGGTTACTAACTAACTGAAGAGACCCGGAAATATGTGTGCGGCAGTCAGCCGCTTCCGTGCTTCTTGTATTACTTCCTTAAGCAGAACTTTAATTTAATGATTTAATAATAACTGGACGCAAGGAATTATATATATATATATATATATGTATATATATATATATATATATATATATAATTGAAATGATATTTCAATCGTGTTTTTAGTTTATATTCCCCGCATGGTAAATTAATATTATTGAACTTTTCTTTGTGAGTTCCTGCCACACAAACACATGAGATTTCAATTAAAGGCCCAGAATGTATTTAGTACATCTTAGTAGAGTAGCTCAAATAAGTCAAAAGATATCAACCAAAAACGATTCTATTACACATTCTCAGGAGGATATAACTGTACCTGGATTCTCGGCACACCCCAGTTCAATTTTCCTAAGTGGCCTTTCTAAAAGTATATTAACATAAAAAAAAATTCTGTGAAGTTTTCAGTTCTGACAGAAAAAAAATACAAGATTAATATAAAAAAATATTATATTATATAAAAAATAGTAAAATTTTATTTAAGAGTTATTATTATACTGTCAACTAAATATAAAGTGTGGTGATGGAGGTTGACTACCCAAGAACCCTGGGCTCCAAAAACTAGTGAAGCTCTCTGATGCCTCTTTCATCCCTTACAAATGAGGCAAAGTGGCTTAGTCCACCCACTCTTGCAGATGCATTCACAGCACAGCTAATTTATTGTATTTTAGTAACTGCTAATCCACATCCCGAACCATGTCTCTACCCAAGTAAGGATAGAAACAAAGGTCAATGGAGGACAGCTATCAAGTTAAAATGGTTTAGCTATCAGTGGTTGCTAAAGACAGAGAGCCATTGCCAGATGTGACACACTATTAAGTTTACTCAGCACGACTAAACAACATGAAATTTCAGATACAGCCAGAGAGAGTGAACCAGCAGCCTCTCCAAAGAGGAACTCAGTAAGTTTATTTCAGTCACTTGTATTTAAAGCAGTTTCAACAGAACATAAACAACGTTAACGTCAAGCAGCATTAAGCTTTATTGTAGGTTGGACCAGCTGTGTCGTAATCAATGCACATTTTGAGGAAGCCTGTGTGTTTACAGCTCATGAACTAGAATACCACAATGACACTGCTTATTAAAAAAATGAGTTTGGTAGTCACGTATATGTTGATAGATGTTTATTATTGTTTGCTACTTCTAATGAGACACTGTCAGGCAGCACACCAACATATCAGCATACACTCTTGCAAACCTTGTCATGCATTATTTAATCATCCTGTATCCACAAGACCATTAGACTGTCATAGATGTTTTGTGTTTGATAACATCAAAGGAGCACTAACAGACAGTAGTGTGAAAATGACTTTAAAAGGAAGTTGGGACTGAAGGAGTACTTTGAGCATTTGAACCACTTGCAGCACATGGTGATGCCTGTTGTTTAAATAGATACTGGTACAATACATGCCCCCCCCCCCCCCCCCAAAAAAAAAAAAAAAAAAAAAAAAAAAAAAAAAAAAAACAAAAAACAAAAACAAAACAACAACAACAACAACCTATAGCCACCTTCACTGAGTTCTCAGTAAACATTTTCCTGATGATGATTGAGTCTTAATGAAAACAACATGTGGACTCAATTCACAAGCATTTTCTTATTGCTAATTCAGATTTCAAAGTAGGCTATAACTTTATTTAGTTCAGACATTTAGTGAAGTCCAATGAAGTCACAGTCTGGTCAAAAGATCTTGCAGGTGCATTCCTGTAAACCTCACACAGCTGGTGTGGAAAAATCTTTTCTTGTCTTTCAGTCCATAAGTATAGTTTTTAACAAAAACATATGTAATAGCCATAATCATATATCACCACAGAAACACTTACTGCATATAAAATATATATAAGCAGTCTCGTCTGTCATCACACAGCTCAAGTGGATGAAAGCCAGGAGGTGCAGATGCTGTGACAGGCTGGCAACCTGGGTTTACCCTGCCTCTTGGCCTCTGCCAGCTGTGATAGGCTCCACCCGCCATGACGGAAGAGAATGAGTGGAGGGAGGTGCAGCTGAAAGCTGTAGAAATCATTCAAAACTGTGCTTGTCTGATTATTATATTATTTCAAAGGGTGAGCGCTCCTTGCCCTTTGGTTCTTAATATTCTAAATGACCAGAATCATGAAGTATGTATCACTCGTTCCTTATGTGACTGCCATTTGCCTTCCTCACCGATGCCTGTGTGACATTATGTCCCTGGACTTTAGCACATTTAACCTTTCAGCTCGCTGTAAGTCACTGTGGATGAGAGCAGCTGCCGAACTTTTAAAATGTTAATATGAGATTCACTCTCTGTGATTTCTGTTCTGCAGTCTGACTCAGTCTTTGGCACTTCTGTGCCCTTTTCACTGAAGACAGATTCACGGCCCAGTGTTGGCATATGGCCTCTGCACTATCCAGCATTAACCCTGACCCCACATGTGACCTCTGACCCCACACGTGACCTATGACCCCTGTGGCAGCACACAAATTAATTTTTCTCTTTGACTGAACGATTGATTCTTTAAAATCCACCATAATTAAATTTAGCAGCCTTGCTGTCCTGAATGTGCTCGTGTATACATGTGTGTGAAAATGAGACTGCAGTGGGACAAACACACAAATGTTACATTTTGTAGTGTAACGTCACAACTTTATCCAGCACAGATAAAGCACTCATACAAAAAACTAATATTTGAACTGAGCACATATAATTTCTTTGATGTTTTGACACGTGGTGGCAGATTTCGGACTAGCTCCCATGTGACGTCTTTTCATTTCTTGCTCATCTATGTGCTCTAAGAAGTAACCTGATTTTGAAAAGTTCCCTTGAAATAGACACCATGGGGGTTAATTAATTCAAGAAAGGTAAACATGCATTTGTTGTAGCTGCAGCTCTACAGGGATGTGGCTGTGTGCAATCTATCTTTTCTCTGGCTGTTGGCCAGGTTTCAACAGGGCACTCTACCAGAGCACTCTGACATAGGTAAATATAAAGAATACATGACTGTTGCTTTTATTTTGTGTCTGTAAATCAGGATAGCACAATCGCAGTTCAACTGAGATGGTGCTTAGGAAAGAAAAATCTGTGTTACTTTCTTCATCTAATGAAATATTGATGTGGCTAGATTTGCAGAGGCTTTGTGTGATCTGAACTACGCTGAATGTAATTTCTTGCACTTGCTCTAATGTGTCGTAAGCTTTGTGTTAAAGCATTCTGAGACTTAGTGTAGATGGCAGATTATCTTATTACATGAAGATAGACAGTGCTTCTTTGGTGCCTCAAAAATCTCCATATTAAGGAAAATGCTGTCTTTGAAACAGGCTTACATTACAAAGTGTATCGATCAAAGTGAGCCATTTAGGCTTCATCTTCATAAAGATTTTATCTTTTTTCCTTAAAACTGTGATATAAAATAATGAAAGAAAGGGACTAGCTAACTACCTTCTGGCCCAGTGGTGGAAGGGGATTGATTACATATTCTGTGCAACCCTGTTTCCAAGAAAGTTTAAAATATAAATAGAAGAAGGGGGGATTTAAAAAACAAAAAACAAACAAAACCAAAGCCAAACATATGCTTAATTTGACTTTGATGCCAGAAACACTTAAGCGTGATTCCTACTGCGCGTTGCATCACCTCTCCATTTAACAGCACACTCTTAAGTGTTTCAGAACTGTGGGCATTACTTGCTGTGGTTTCTAAAGCTTTCTGGATACTGGATTTCAGCTGCTTCAGGGCAAAACTCAACATCACAGCCATTGGTTTTCAGCCTTGTCCCTTGCATACAAAGATTTATCCCAGTTTAATGATACTGAGCACTGAAGATTATGAAGATTTCACATTCTTTTTGTGTTTCTACACTGAGAAATGTTATCCTTAAACTATTAAATGACTTGCCTCTTCCACAGAATGATGAACCACCCTCCAGTACTCCCCACCATCCTTTGTTCCAAAAGCCTATTTATAATAGAATATAAGGACACATCGTTTCAGTTTCTAAATTCAAAACTGACTCGAATTATTATTTCATGGTTGGTACAGTGTTTGGCTTATTCCTCTTGAAACTGCAGCGTCGCAGCCTCATGTGGCTCTTTTACCCATTTCCAGTGATTCCCTTTGACCCTGAGCCAAAAACAAACAACCCAACCAACTTTGAATATTTGCATCACAGCCTGTGTGTGTTACGTTGACCATTATCGTGTTAATTTTGCATACATGCAAAGATAACAATGGCTCGTGCTATTCCCCCTACCTATGGATTTCACATCGAAAAGAAATCTTTAGAAAAAACACAGAATTTAACAATGCAAGGATAAACCTTCACCATCAACCCTGCTAGCTTAGCAGTGCATAAGCATAAGCAAAGTAAATGATTTTACTGGTCGCAGCAGATGGCCGCCCCTCCCTGAGCCTGGTTCTGCCGGAGGTTTCTTCCTGTTAAAAGGGAGTTTTTCCTTCCCACTGTCGCCAAAGTGCTTGCTCATAGGGGGTCATATGATTGTTGGGTTTTTTTCTGTATCTATGAAGCGCCTTGAGGCGACTTTTGTTGTGATTTGGCGCTATATAAATAAAATTGAATTGAATTGAATTGAATTTTGTTCTGTTCTAATTTAATAAAAAAAAAGAGGAAAATATGATGTTATTATCACATAAATACCATATTTTAAGTGCCAGAAATTCATAGAGTCCCGGCGATAGAGTAATCACATGCAGTAGTTTTCATTATCTTTACCTGTGAACATGTTTTTCAATAATTGCTTTTAGAAATTATTTAAAATGGGACATTTTTGTCAAAGTTAGTATGTGTTAATCTCAAGAGTCAGTATAGCTCTCTTTAGCAGACGTATATTTTTGCAGTCATTATTCTTAATTTTTAATAATCCTTCTTTATGGACTTCATGAACTTTCTTTTTGTTTTCT